CCCCCCCCCCCCCCCCCCCCCCACCCTGTTTTTGTCGCAGGCCCCCGCGGCGGGGTACGAGGTCTTCGGCCCCGGCCAGCCGCCCGTTCTGTGCGTCAGCCTCGAGCTGCACCGCTTCGCCAAGAGTGGCGTCACCTTTCTCCAGCAGCGGGGCACCGTGCTGCCGGGAGAGGAACGCTCCTTTGCGGCGGAGCTCGTGGAGTGGGCGCGGGAGTCAGGCTTCAAGGTGCGAGCTTGGTTTGTCGAGAAGTCAGGTGGTCGTTGGTGAGGTGATATTTTGGTGTTGCTGAGGTTGCTGCGTTTGTGGTAGGCTGCTGTGAGCTGTGGTATTTGGCGCATGTTGCTGGTGGCTGTTTGGCGTGAATTGGCTGTCGGTAAGGGTAGTGCTTGTGTGGTACGGCGGCTGTGAGGTGTAAGTTTGGTGTCGGTACGTCGTTGACGGCTGTGGGTGAGGTGTGGGCTTGTTGTCGGTAAGGCGGTGCGTGGGTGATCGGCGGGCGTGGGGTGGGAGCTTGGTTTCAGTTAGTGGTGCTTGTGGTCCGCGGCTGTAAGGTGTGAGAGTAAATTGCCGGTTGTCCGTGTAAGGTACTTTTTTTTGTTGGCGGCTGTCGGGAGTGAATCTCGCTTCGGGATGCGTGAGAGGACGTCGTTGCCAACCTCGAAAATGCACAAGATGACCTCATGATATGATGAATGCGGTACAGTTTGTTTCCCTCCTACTAGGTTGTTGGGGCGTTGTTGTCGTTGTCTCTATCTACTACTCTCCTTTGAAATCCTCTGTTCTAGATAGCGCTATATATCGTGGCGATGAGTGTGCGGTCCGAGTTCGCCGTGACGGAAATCGACGTTCGCGTTCTCTGACAAATCCTCGAGCTTACTGATTTGGTGTTTGTCTCCTTTTACCATTGCCGCTTCCAGGATGTGCTTGCCCTGACCGGGGCAGACGCTGCTGAGGGGCTGGACCCGACTCCGATCGGGCGAGGAGCGATGAAGCGATACCGCGCAGGAACATCCGTGGCGGCGTTGGCGGTGAGGACAGAGCCCAAGCATAGCACAGGCTAACCTTGACGTGACCGTGCCATTCATGGGCCTTTTGGCCGATTTCGGTGGGCCCCGCAACACCGGGGGAAAGCAAGCAGCAGTTCAGCGACAGCAACACCAATCCCAATCGGCAATCATTCCACCGCATTCTTGGAGAGGCTAAGAATGTGGCCGGGTAAGCGATAGAGACGATTTCCCAGGTCGTCTAACACTCCCTTCTGCCTGATATCAATCTCTCCCACCGACCCTAATGGGCTGACCTATATCGCTCTAAGTCACACACACCCCTCCGCTCCCCTACGACACGGGCAGCCGCATTCTCCCGAACCTTGCCCACTGGAAGAGGCGCTATCGCGGGTGGGGATAGGGGCATTCGACGTGGCGGGCGTCATGCAGGGAGGGTGGCGAAACTTGATGGCGGCACCAATGGGGGGTGGTGCTCTGGACGCCCCGGGGGGGGCGGCGGCTGGCGGTGTTGGCCTCGGAGCGGGAGGTGCGGGCGAGGAAGAGGGGGAGGAGGAGTTGGCGCTGGCCACGGCGATGGTGGGGAATGAGGTACTCGCAGGGTTCGGGTGGCCGATCGTAGTTTGGTCACCAGCACGATTAATGCGCTGCGGACGCGGCTTTCGTGTGCCCGTGAGGTGTTGTTGCTGTCGTTGTTGTCATGATGCAGCAGTAGCAGTAGCAGTAGCAGTAGCAGCAGTAGCTGTTGTGTGTTGTCTTTCTTGTGGTTTGTCACTCTCGGTCATGCCCGAACCGAATCGAGACGGCAAGAGATACGCTCCTCGTGCCCTTGTTCTCGATTCCATCATCCTCTTCTCGGCCTTGACCAAGCGGTAGTACGTCGCACATACACACTGGTTTGAATGTGGCATTCTTGTTCTGGTGTTTTTGTCTTTGCTTTTTTAGCAGGCGGCGATGCCTCCAACCCTCCCTCCCTTGCCTTCCGGCACCGGCGTGGCGGGTTTCCTGTGCACGGAGGCGTCGTCGACAAGAACAGTGGCAGACGGGGAAACGAAGGGACCGACCCCCCCCCTGATCGTGCTCCTTCGATTCTGCGGGGAAGGGGACAACACCCCGGAGGCGATCGAGATGGCGCAAGCTGTGAACGCCTCCTTGAAGCTACTCCCGGGTGGAGGGGACGGGGAAGGTGCGTCCCCGGGTAAGGATCTGCTGCTGCTGTCATGGCCGTTTTTTTTGTTTGTGCCCCGCGCCAAGATGAGCTTGCTGCGACACCTGTTTAGAAGCCGTTACAGACCGTTCCTCGATCGTCTGAGCGTGCAACCTTACGTGGGCAGCGTAGACAACACCACAGGCGTGATGATGACTCATGTGAGAGGGGGGTAGTGTCGAGTTTGAAGACGTGCCACAGGAACCAATGTTGCAAGCCCCTTTGGGTGGAGCAATCGGCCCCTTTGAGTTCGTCCATCTACACACCGTCGTGTTTAGCCTGTATCACCCAAACGTACCCACCTACCACCAACTGCACCAACATACCTGGTGGTGCATTTTTTCACTGTGGAGGTAGCGGTCGTGCCACTTATTTTTCATTTTTCCTCCTCTTCTTTCCGCTGTTTCCTTGGCGAATGCATCACTCCTCACTTTTCGTACGAATCACTACAGGCGCAGCGGAGGTGCGATGGAGCTCTCCCCTCTCCTGGGCTTCTCTCTACGGCCTCCCCCCCGCTGCCGACGCCTACCAATAGGGTTTCCAACGGATCAGCCGGACGTCTAGAATCCTTGGAATTGAATAGCACGGAAGAGGAGGGGTCGTTCGGTAGAGGTTCCGGAACCCTTTTCAATTCAATGACGAGGCAATCAGTGGGAAAAAGTAGCAGCGCTTCGTACCAGGAAGGCTCCCAAAGATGACACTATAGCCCTCCTGCCCGACGAACGTACAAGTAGCAGGTGCGAGGCTATTTCTTGTCGTCTTGAGGCTGGCTTGTTTGTGCCCGCTGTGACTTAGGGCTCAACTCTGTCAGGAGGAGTAGATGGGGCTTGTTTTAAGACCGTAGACTCTGATCGCGCCAACTCGACGTTCCGCGGCGAATCTGTCCAAGCTTTTGTCAAGGCGTAGAGACCGGGCTGGAGAAAGCGTGCGCGTATTTAGCCAGTAAGGGGGGACAAGGCACGGGGGCAGACACGTCCGGTTGTGGTAAAACGGGCGGCCTTGGCTTTCGCTTGATGCTGCTGGACATGGTTACGTAACGTGTTCAAGGCGAAGCACCACTCGCTCGAGTAAATTTCATCTCGTTGACGTGATTCTGTTCACGTCTCCTCGCTACCCCCCCCTGTGTTCCACCCCCCCCCCGTGTTTTTACCGGTCTCCTCTCTCCCACCATCTACACCCTTGCTTTCACCAAAGTTGGCACCTCCACAGTTGTACACCTCGCCCCTGAAAGCCGGCTGGACGTGGGCCATTTTGCATCCCGAACACGGTTCAGCAGGGCGAACATGCCTCTGGTGCTCGTTGTCTTGAGACCAACAACACACACTTCCAAGTAGAACCCAAAGCGTACGTACCAAAACGTTCCCTTTTTCAGTCCTTTTCCTTGGCGGATGTCTCATCCGTATGATCTCGTTCGATGTATTCGCCCTGACACCGGTCGTGTTTCCGTGAGAGCAAGCGGCACCCGAACAGAGCGAGTGGCCGGACGCTTCCCCACCTCTCCCACTCGATCTCCTGCTCTACCGCCCTTTGTCTCGCCGGGGTGGTCGGAGTTAGAATACCACAAATGTTTGTGACTTGAAAAGAAAAACGAATCGGAGGCACGGTTGTGTATGTCCCGTCTGCTGGAAACCTGGCAACGGACACGAAAAGGTTGAGGCTGAGCCTGCTCTGGTCCATGCAACGAACACAGCGGTGCCCCTACCGCAGTCGGTACACACTTGTCATCACGTGTGACCGAGTCACCCAACGCTTCACCCCGTAGCCGAATGATGCCCGCGAACGCCAGTCAAGAGGAGCAAATTTATCGTGTTGTGGGACTTCCTTGCTCGATTATGTCGGGATACCATACCCCCCAGTCAGCGACAGCTATGGCTACACTATTCCGTAAGCTTGCCGACGAAACGCTGCGCTCTACATACAATCCACCACCGCTGCCGGAGAAGCAACGACGCCGTTCTTCCGTGCTGGTCACCTTAAATTTCGGGAAAAGTTGAGGCCGGATCTGATCGTAGAACCAGGCTCTGCCACGTACAAAGCACGCAACGCTCGGTGCTCTGCGTTCGTGTAAAACCCTACCGCCGCCCTCGGTCGATGCTCACGCCGGATGTAAATCATGGAACCATCCGTCGGGACGTCTTGGAAAAGAACCCGTTGTAGTCCAGCCGCGCGCAGAGGTTGTTCAGATGGGAGTGATACTGTAACAAAAAATTGAATGGGTGTGGAGGGGTGCGGAGCGAAGAGCGCGATAACCGTGAGGAAAACACAAGTCGTTCGTGGTTACACGGTGCTGGGTCGCATGCTGTTGTCATGATAAAAACGCTGTTCTTGAACTCTATCGAGTACCCCTCCCTTCGGCAATGACGTAACCTGCCGTCTTCACCAGCTGTACAAGACAAGTGCCGGTCGCCCCGGTGGTATAGTGGCATCCTCGTAATCCGCTAGTCGCAGAGGTCGTGAGTTCGAATCCCCATGGGGTGAAAAATATACGACATGTGCGGGTGAAAGCGAAATATAGCTGACAAGCTCTCGTGAGTACCAAACTTCGACGTTAGCACCGTTGACGAGGGAAAGGGACGGCTGGACCCTTCTCGCGATAAAAATAAAATTCAGCACGCACCGCAGGAAGGTGGGGCATGAAAATAAATAAAATGAAAAAAAAAGCCCTGGTGTTTACCCCCTCCTGTGACCCTGGATGGTTGCAGTTGTACGAAAGTATACACTGAAAAGTGTAGCACTCTACAAACGCTGAAAAAGTGTAGTACACGTCTCACCACGAAAAATGGGGGGACTGTTGGCATAATGAATAGGACGAAAACACACACACACACACACACACACACACACACACAAGACCGAAAAGAAAGGTGCCGACTAGGTTGTTTGAAAACTCTGTAAGGCTTTTGTTGCATGCGTGCGATTATGCTACGATACGGACAAGAATGTGTGAGGCCGTGCAAGAGCGCGCTCGAGCAGTTAGAGACAAAAAAAAAATACAACGGGAGACTTAGCAGAAGACCCCAACAGATAACCGCCACAGCGGTCAGCAGACGTATACGGGCTGCGACATAACAAGGCACCAGAGTACAGAAACACAGAAATGATCCACATCTTGGATGAGTGAAGCCCCCACCACGAGCGACTCACGTGCCCCTCAGCGTCATGCCACAGATGACTTGCGAACACCTGCAGGCTAGCGTCAAACCCTTTTTGCGACCGCTGGATGTACTCCTTATACCTCTTCGTGTCTAGCGCGGAGCGCATAGAACTTTTCCGCGATGCGAGAGGCATCCCCCGAACACCAAGCACAAAAACGAAAATGCGCCGCCGCGTCGGGGGGGGGGGGG